GCAGTTAAGGCTGCTGTTAGAAAAGCAGACTGAGACAGCCCAAGCCAAGCACCACAAAACTATGCCAGTGCTGTTCTAACAGAGATGTGACATTTTGATTAACCTCAAAGATGTCATAGATGGGAAACTGAGTCCAGATAGTACTCCACAGATGCCCCTTGGCTAGCTGAATGTTGCTCCACAGCAAACCTAGGGTGAGGAAAAAAGTCAAAGAGAGAACAGGCAGGTTTCTGTCCATTTCTATTTCAAAGGAAATTGAATAAATCAGTATTTCAAAGGGTTAGCAAAGCATTGAAGGGATGGAAAAACATCTGCTCATCTAGAAGTGACAGTACTCTTCCTTCCATATGTTCAATCATAGGAAATAATCCCATTTTTTCTCCTCATGATTCCAAAGAACAGGATCCTCAGAGTCCTAGTTTATAAGAGCAATGAGGTTTTACAGCAAGTCCCCATACTGCCTTCAATCATCACAACTAACGTGTGTCAGTGTTCAAAGAGTGGCTTTAGGTCATGTAAGGTTTTCTGAGCAAATGGACCCAGAAGTTCCATTTCAAGTGTACACCAAATAGTCTCCAAATCCTAAAGCAAACCAACAAATGGTGCCTCAGACAGGGGGCAGATTAAAACTAACCCAAAGCAAAATTTCCCAAATACATGAAGTTTATAGTGTAAAATCCCCAATATATCTTATCTTTTTTCCTGTTTTTACTTTATTATCCCTACGCTTACCAACTACAGGCACACATTTCTTAGTGCTTTCCACCATTAATTTTTCCTATCATTTCGTACTTGCATGTATATAAGAACCTATGACTGCAAAATTCTATTCTCTAATGTGGTTCCTTGGACTCTTCACAACACCTGGTAGCTGGGAACTGCAGAGCAGCCTTCTTCAAGGAAGGAATATTTTCTGATCCTCCAGGTAAACTTAGTCCTGCATATTCCATCCACAGAAGGGACAGATGGGCCAAAGATAGTCATGTCTGACAGCAGTGACAAGCAACTCCTGTAGTTAGGCCAAAAGGGTTGCTCAGGCTGCTGTTGATAAATGGCAGAGGACTTCACCTACAGCAGACAGTGGGTAAACACATAGTGTGATCTCAAGTAAAAGAGAGATCCAAGTTCATAAGCTGTAGTTGCCTTAATGCCACCACATGGTGAAGATTTGGAAAGAAAGACTTGTTTTCATGGAAGGGGCCTGGCATCATGGGTGATCGCATCTGCTTCTGTTGCAATGAGGATATCAGTAAAATCAGGTGCTGGGGAGAGTGCAGGCCTCCTTCAGCAGCAAGGACAGCAGTACACATTGTGATACTGAGGTCAACATTCCTAATGCTACCAAAAAGAATGCAACTTCCCTGTTCCCCCAAGCAAGTTTTCTCAACACAGAGAAAACAGCTTTGGTTCAACAGTGCCTAGCCCCTGTCAGAAGACAAATGTAAGCCAAACAGTGCTTGACAAGGATGAAAATAAAAATGCTATCTCGTGGTGCTCTGATTAGAATTGACCAGATAGAGTGGCACCAGAGAGAATGTCCTGAGCCCTGCAAGTCCAGCCTGAACAAGGAAATATTCTACAGCAACTGTGTGGGACCAAAAGGTTTTGATTTTGACTAACACAGTCCATGGAATGCAAGAAAAAGACAAAAACTTCTTGAGTAAAGGCACAACAGGACAACTGAGAGCTTCAGCTCATCAGCTGCTTGAGCAAGAAACTTTCTAAGCTGACTTCTCAATTGTGTTTTACCCAAAGCATAAAAGGGCACCATTGTTGATGTTTCCCACACTCAAGACAGTAAACAGATTTGGAATTTTAGCCAGAAGATGATCTGTGATCCTTGCAATTAACAGTGCAAGTCAGAAAGAATTTTGCCTTTGAGAAACATAATAATATCTAAACACTGAAAGAAAAAGCAACATACAGCTAGAAAAATCAAATCAAGTATGAGTAGAACAGAATGACACTACAGAGCAGTTAAGAGATACTGACATGCCCACACGTGATCTCAGATGGCCAAGCACAAGTATCTCAGAATCATTTGTTTTATAAGGGACCTCTTGAGATCATCTAGCCCACCCCCTTGTCCAAGCAGAGACAGCTAGAGCATCTTGTCCAGGGCCACATGCAGGTGAGTTTTCAATATCTCCAAGGACAGAGACACAACCATCCCTCTAGGTAACCTGTGCCAGCATTTGACCACCCTCAGAGCAGAAAACTACACACAGTGTTTATTAGAAGGAACACAGATTCTCTCGAGGAGTCATTATCTGCTTAGTTCCCCAGTTGTTCTGTGTGGACTGCTAGTGCAAACAGGACACTGTGAGGGGCCTACCTGCAGCTGTGTTCCTTATGTGGCTATTCCACAAAGTGTCCCAGAAAGCCTAACTGTTGGTGACAGCCTGCACTCCACACCGATCAGGAGCTACCGCACTGACAAGTCAGGCTGTACCCAAACCAGGTCCTGAGGTAGGTCTGCAGTATGGGCTAATGGCCAGTCTTCTCTATCCCAAACTCTGCCAAGCTCTAGCAACTTGCTAGACTCTGATTACAAGCTCTGAAAAGAGCAGCAGCTCGTTAGTCCTTTAAGGTTGCTGTGACATCTAAATAGAAAACAATAAAGGTTACTATTTAAGGGGGACTGCAATGTTCAGTTCTACTAGAAAAATACAGAGGAATTTTAGACAACTCTGTTCCCTTACTTTTCATCTAGAAACCCATGAAATGACTATATCACCTGTGGTAATACCACCAACTTCCTCCATCCACCAACTGTTGGATAAAGGCAGCATCTCCCTTTATGAAATGTTTCTCACCTCTTTGCAACACTCTCAGTGAAAACATACACAATACACGATTCCCAACGCTCTCAACCCAATTTCTTATTTTAACTTTATCATTTATTTCTGTAAAGCATTTGGGGATTAACCTTGAACCCAAAAAAGCTAGATTCTTCACAGAACAGCTTGATTTGTAAAAATGTGGTTTAAGTAATGTGTCATTCTTAAATGCAGGATAGCTGATGCGTAGCCAAATCTGCTTCTTTGGTCTTTTCTGTCCCTTAATATTTACTAACTGCTTTGCCAGGGGACTTGTCCTAATTCCACACACCACCACTCCCTCTTCCCAATTACAGCATCATGCTGTGTACAAATGTGGGTGTTTTTTCAAGCATTTGGTATTCTCAACTATTTTCCAGAAATAAACACTGGCAGTACACATGTATTAGTCAATGCCTTGCACATTTTCTGATGCTAGTCCTCACTTGGTGATTTCAGGTCACACTTTTCAAGCATTCTCTGCCCTGGATATAATACATATTGACACTAACTAGCATGATAGCATTTTCTCTTGGCACTATAATATCTATCATTCTGCACAGTCATACCTTCAACTCAATTCAGAGCATTCCAAGTGTACAACCAAATTAAAAAATCTCAATCACTGCCTTGGCTTGCCCTCACTCCACTGTTTTCAGACCTCAAACACCTGATTTGCTGTTCTTTGGGAGCTTGTGTATCCAAGCCTTTCACATATCAACAGCAAGATTCCTCTAACAATCTGGGTTGATTTCTCCTTTACACAGATCAGCTGCATCTATTACAACACAGTGTATTAAAAAGAGGCCTATCAGTCCTCCTCTTAGATGATCTGAAACGTGGAAAACAATTTGACCTTCAAAAATAATTCAATGACTTTTACCCAGAGGCAATCTGTCACAAATATTAAGTAACCCGTCTCACAAGACTGGCAACAGTCTCACCCTCTAATTCAATCATATCTCTGGAGATTTTGTACAAGAGAAGAGGTATAGACACAAACATAAGGCCACAACACTATCTCTGAAGCATGAGCCCTAGTGATAGGGCTCCTAATCCCTGCTTCAACAGAAGGGGATTCCTCAGACCAAGTGGGAATCCTGCAAAAAGGAACATCCCTTCAGAAGCATATTATACTAGAACATAGAAACTGTTCCTGTCAATAGCTGGCCTTGCCTTAACGAGGAAATTATGCAAAATGCACTTCAGCAAACAGCAGTTCTCAGTCCCTCAAAGGCAAATTGGGAAATTCCTTGTTTACATCCTCCCATAGCAATTAGTTTTTAGTAGAAGACCCCTTTACTGTTCCTTCAGCCAGGAACAACTCCAGCAAGACAGCTCCCTTGCACCCTTTGGTGTTAAAATGCATCTCATCACAATTGCAAGAGCCTTTGGGATACTGGCTGGTTTCTTTCACCCTAGACTTTAAAGATCAGCAAATGAAGTTTTAACTTTTAGCCCTATTTATTACAGTTTCATCTCACCAAACAGAAAACAGCACCCTGATATAAAGCAAGTCCCTCCTCAGTGTAGTATCTTCGATGGCAGCAGGGCTGGATATGAGCCAAGGAAGGCTCCCATTTTGCTGCTTCCCAGTCAGTTTGAAATCTGCTTATAAGCTTTGCCAGGTTCAGCTATAGAAATTGATGGCCCCAAGGCTGACTTCCACATCCAAACCAATATAAAGCTGTGTTAGAAAAAATTAAGAATAGACACATCACTTTACACTTTGCCCTCAGAACAGTGAGGTAATGAAAAATTAGCTAATTGTCAGTTTCCCTATACTTTGTCTTATCCACTTTTTGCACTCATCTACTAGTCAACCATTTTCCTTGGAGACTCCATCACGCTTAGAGTGCTCCCGGTCCTCTGTGAGGCAATCAGCTAACCTCATTTCCTAGTTAGATGCTGCTTCCTCTATTTCTTATTTTCTAATCAGTATCACTAGATTGCAGAGACCAGTGTACTAGTAATGCAGTTGAAGTCTACTCATTGTTCTTATAGCCTGCAGACAAAAGTAGTCCCTGTTGTTGGAACTCACTGGAGTGAGCTGAATGACTTAACATAACATTACATATAGATGAAAGCTGAAGAGAAAATTATAAAAACCATTTGCAACTTCAGATTCTAGTTGTTAACACGCACAGTAACTTAGCGCTTCCAAAGGCCTTTCTGCCTTACCTTGCAGCTTTTTCAGGACAGCCACTTCCATCTTGAGAACTTGCTTGGGCTGCTGGGCTGATTCTACCTTCAAGGCCACGTTCTCACGGGTCAGCAAATCCATCGCCTCATAGATCTCCCCAAAGCCACCACCACCAATCTTCTTCAACTAGAAAAGTACAAAGAGATTTGGTACAATGTACATGACAGAGAACACCAAATTGGCTCCCACAAAGCCAGGCACTAGCTTCTTAACTGTGTAGAGAGAACCAGCTCAGTTCCCAATCTGTGCTGTGGCTGAATCCCTTCACTGCACAGCTAGGCAAAAGTCCAGCTACCCACTTGACTGTGCTATGTATAAATTCTTTGCTGTAACAACAAAGAACAAGCCTAGCAACTAATGACATGTGATACATCTAAAAGCAAAGGATAATGCCTATTATCTCTGCAATGTTCCTGCCAAAATTCAAGGAAAGACACTTCAAGGATGTAGCAGAACCACTATTCAGACCATGTTAGATAAAAACTGTCATTCCCTCTCAACAAATACATTTCTGCAGTAAAACATAACCATGGTAGTTGGAACTAAGAAATAAGTTAAATGAAGTTTACATGTCATTCAAAGGATTTTAAACACAGAACAAAACATCCACAGGAATATTTTACAAGATACTTGACCTTCTCCGCTAGTGAAGTTGCTTCATTGTCACATTTCAGTGAACTGTCAACTGCATTACCTCAAAACAGTTGCATACAAGCCACCCGTAGAGCTTCATTGTTTCTCATTCTCTTGCTCTATTTATTTAATTTTTAGTTTGAAGCCCAACAAAATTCTGCTCTTTGTATCTCTGAGCAAAATTAAAGACTGTTTCACAATAGGATTTCACTATTTCAGCTGACATAAACTCAAAGCTAAAGAAGTCCAAGTTCCAGCATATTTGATATGTACCTACTAGAGAGAGATCATCTGCCTGTTCTAGAGTAGCCTCCCACTCAAGAGAGCAAATCGGGATCCTCTGCCTTTCCTGGAAGGTGATTCCTTGATCCTCCTTCTGCTGAGACTTGACAGCATATGTGCATATATTTATATATGAGCATGTATAAGACAGACTTCTAATGTGTTGCAAGTGTCAATGTGCAAGTGCCAGGAAAATTATTATATATTGGTTTCTCTTGGATACATTTAAAGCATACTGTGCTGTCCAGGAAGAAATTCAAGTTTACAGCAAAGATAGATCAGGGTTCCCTTGATCTGCTTAGCACTTGTTCACTGAACCTAGCTGCAGCCCTTCCTTTCAGCATTTTGTGTTCCCTCTGTGTTAGCAACTGCTCTGGAAACCCTGAATGCTGCTTCTTTCCAACAGCAGCAATAACACTTCAAGAGAAAAAGATGTTTCAGTCACACAAACATGGATCTTACATAATGTTTAATGAGGTTTAGATGATATATTAGTGTCTTCTGCACCACAGAAGGCCTGTCCAGTTTGCTGAACAAAGGGCCCTGCCTACCCAGGGCAGGGTTTTTTCTTCCTAAGGTGACCCAAAATCATTTGCTTTACTGACTTGCAGGTCAAGAAAAACAGTTCCACATGAAGAAGGAAATATTTTCAGTATTAAGAGCCTGGCTGTTGTCTCTGAAGCTATTTCTTGATAACCCTACGAAAGCTGCTATCCAGAGCCATTCTTCTTTTTGACATTTTTCCTCACAATCTTCCACTGGGCTAAACAGGCATATGCATACAGCCCAATAACTAGGTCACCACATATTAATCATAAATAATTACAGTGCAGTCCTATTTCTACTTGGAAATTCACACTAAATTAGCTGGCTATTAAAAATCTTTCTATCGAAACAATACTACATTTGGCACAGCAACAATATGCCAGCTAATACCTCAGGATTCAGTACACAAGATCTTCTGTTGCCTGATGTATTAATGGCACAAGAGAAAGGGACAGTGAAAAGCTACAGAAGGCAAAAAGTTTAGTTGGGGTCTGGAAGGACTTTGAGAAAGACTGAAAAACTCTCAGTTGGAACATGGGTAACATAACAAGCAAAAGTCAACAGTAATAAATACAGCACAGCATAGCTGGGATGGAGAAGAAATACAGGCTACCCAAACATTTCAGTGGGTACATAATTCAAGAAATGGATCTGGGGAGAAAAATTGCTGAGCCAGCACAGGCACACATAATGATCTTTTTCCATTCACTGGCCCTAAAAGGGACACAGTTGTCAAAATGCAAAAGTACTACAATACAAATGGAACAACATCAGGATCTGTAGGAAGGTCTAGTCACATACAATGAAAATATTGAACACCTTGCTGCTAGAGGCTCTCACTGAGTTAGAAGTCATTCATTTCAGGAGTAAAAGAATGATCAGGAGCCTGGAAAAACTAAGGACAGACTAGGACTACTACCTCAGAAAAAGCAAAAGAATGTGTGCATCAGAGAAGCAGGTTCAGGAAGAAAAGTACAATATTGAGACTGCACACCTGGGAAAACAGCCAATTCAGAAGAAATGTAAAAGTCTATAGAGAAACAAATGTGAGATGACATGAGATCAAGATCGGAGCTTCTGCTGAATCAGCAAACTGATTTTATACACACATTCCAGCCAATGGAATGCTGTCAAAGCTGCCTTTGCTTCCTCACATCCTTTCTTACCCTCTCATGGAAATTATTCTCAGGCATACTTTTCCCAGCAAATCAGATGGTTCTATTCAACATTACCAGCACTGCCATCCTCCTTGATTTTTCAGCAACATCCAGAGGCCACCAGCAGCCATTTCCTTTTCTTTGTTGCAAAGGAAGTTGTTGCAATTCAAGGTCTTGGCTGAGATCAGGGGCTTATGACACAAGCATTTCCTCATTGCTTGGGTATTCTGTGGGAGATCACTAAGGTGAACACAGCATAGGCTTCTGCTGGACACAGAGAAGAGATGGGCATATACCACTCAAAAAACCCAAACCCAATAACGATACCACAAACACAAAGTCAAAAAAGAGAATGAAACATCTAACTAGAATGACCTAAGTTGCAATCACGAGTCATCAGCCTATGCTAAGCCTCACTGCCCCAGGAATATTCTGTTCTCATCGTTTCCTACCTTCCACCAGCCCATTTACTGTTAAGATTGGGATACGGGCTGACAAAACCAGCAGGACTCATTCTACCTAAATGCACAGGCCCCTGTGCATGAGTCGAGTGGCCAGGTTTCCATTACAGGCTGTGAGGTCAAGTGAACAGTTCATCTGATCAAACACAGGTTTGGACTCGGGCATAGACAATCAGTAGTTACACAGGACACAAATGGCTCCCTTTGAAGTCTCCTTTAAATATTATGAAATATTTTGGATTTATCCTGAAAAAGCCTCTAGTAGTACAATCCTCCAGAGCCTATAAAAATCCAACAACAACAACACACAGCCTTCTCACTAAGCAGAATCAGTATTCTCAGAGAGACAGTTCAAAAAACCAAGGCAACACACAACTCCAACCAAAAATAGCTTTGAATTACAAATTTAATCTTTTATTTCAGAAGCATATATGACACCACTGCTCTAAACAAAGTCTGCCTTCCAAGGATATTATATAAAGACCAGACCTTCCCAGGATAACCAAGGCAGGAGTGGTTCAGTCTCAGGATCGGTGGCAGGGTCAAGGAACAAGAATGTGTGCTCTGAATCCAAAGCAAAGGACCAAACAAAAAGCCAGAGATCTATAGTGAACTCAGCCAGGGTCAAGGCTGTCATCCATAGGCTTCAAATGTTTGACAAGGTCAAACAATGACTACTGTTACTGCCTTTTAGGAACACTTGCATAGTCAAGCTTGCAACTCCTGTAGCCCAACTCAATGGGCTCCTTGATTCAGAAATTGCTAGAAGGCCTCATCTGACTTAACAGGTGAGGATGAGTTGAGTTGACCTACATTCATCAAACTCTCAAGAGTCCACTCAACTTGCTCAAAAGGACTGGATCTGATCTCCAGGGAAATGAACTCATGTATAACAGGCATGTGACTGAGCCATGAACTGAGAAGGCAATTAAGAAGCCAACCAGCCACATTCTAAAACATCTGAAAACCTCTCAAAGCCCAATTAAAGCAATTCAGAGTGAGACCAAAACAGGCCCCAAGACTGAAAAAGAACCTTCCTTGTCCCAAATTCCCTCTTGGAATCATAAATGGCCCTTGTGAGCCAGACAAGGTAAAGAGTTCACAAAAGTGTGTAGGACTTCCAGCAAGGTTTCCAAAATAAACAGGAGAGCTTCAGTTCAAGAACTTCAGAAACCTTAAAGAAAACAAATCATAGATTGCACCTAGCAAAAGAACATGTACATGAGTCAACACTTATATTCAAAGCTCAGAGCAGAAGCTGCCAACTCTGTCTTGCTAATAAGTCTCAGTTGTGAATCCCCAATAAAAAGCATTTAGGTGAAACAAAGAGATACATCAATTCAGCTTTAAGGCATCCACATTTATCCCTAGTTCAAAGCAAGCACAAGTTATGGTTGTCTTTGTTCCCTACCCTGAACAAAGCTCTTCACACCATTCAGAGCACATGTGGATCAAGTCACCCTCTGGGACTCAGTAAAAGTCGTGTGGTCCCAGTACTGTCTAAATTTCATCCAGTGAAAGCATCAAAACTATCTGCAAGTAACAAATGATGACTCAAAAGAATACTTCTTCTAAGTCCAAAAGTTTTGATAAAAACCATAAGCACTGCTTGTCCATGTCTTTTTTCATAAGTAAGAACAAAAATCTTACTGCTGTCAGACAGCCAAATTTTACTGACTTCGAGTGACAGGAAAATGAACAACCAAGAGGCCAACTGCAGAGAATTAACATCTTCATTTGTCAAAGCTTTGTCAACCAGCATATAGGAAGAGAGGAGGAAAGGAATTCAATGAATACATTACACCAAACTAAAATTAGAAATTGGCTCAATACTGGGAGTATATCAGCACTAAGAGCTACAAGGTTCAAGCAGATGCCCAGTCAGAGACAATCACAATGGGAGGACAAATTACACAAAAAACCTTCTGGCAGCTGCACCCCAGCACCACATAAATATGCCACACACCTGCTTGAGCAGGATCCATCACCCACAGCAAAGCTTGGACCGTACAGCTTGCACACTGTGGGTTAGATTTAGAGAGGTCTGTGATGTAATGTTACAGCTGTATGCTCGCTTTAAGGTGCAGTCCCTTTTTCCTCTGTCACTTGATCCTATGCTATCCCTTTCCTTGGGCCAAAAGAGGTATTTTCATAGCTTTTCCAGATTACTTCGAGCCCCATACAGCTTGTGGTTCTGACTGCTCCCACACCAACATCAAGCACAGCAAGGGGACAGCACAGAAGGCCTGCCTAAAAGGAATGTGCACCTTGCACTTCTTTGGTGGGGGGGAATGACTGTTCAATGAAGGCTGACAATGCTGAACTCAGCTAGCACAAGGCCAAATTCCCAGCTCTACTCAGAGGTGGTAATAAGAATTTCTCATTGCTATTTACAGCCTTTAGCAAGGCATGTCATTTCTCAGAGCCTTCAAAGTGGGGCAGTGACCTTACTGCAGTATTGAAGGCTACTGTGAGCCAATATTACAAAACATAAAAGGCTATTCCTCTAGTTTGAGGTAGTTATTGACAATACAGCTACACATTTTTATCTTTTCTAAGGCAGAATTAGTGGGTAGACCTTCTAGATGTCCCCAGTCACAGATTCAGGCAACAACAAAGCACTGAACCCCACATTTAGGACCTCTACCAACTTGAAAATTAGTTTGAAATGTTCCCCTGTGAGCATAACTTAGCATATTTTAGACATTACTTGTAGCTTTTGGTGCTTTTAAGAGTTCTGCTGTTTCCAAGAACAAAGTTACTTTGTTTAGACCGTGTTTCAAAAATACTGCCATCATTTACAGATGTTTTAGCACAACTGTCTATGAAGGAGAAACTCGAAGTTTGATGAATAGGCAATGGTACAAGCCAAAGCTAGCTAAGGTAAAGGAAAATAGAGAATCACAGAATCACAGAATTGTTAGGGTTGGAAGAGACCTCTGGAGATCACTTAGTCCAACCCCCCTGCCAAGGTAAGGTCATTTAGAGCAGGTTACACAGGAACGTGTCCAGGCGGGTTTTGAAGGCGTCTAGAGAGGGAGACTCCACAACTTCCCTGGGCAGCCTGTTCAGTGCTCTGCCTTCCTCAGTGTAAAGAAGTTCTTCCTCATGTTGAGGAAGAATGAGTGTTTGCCAGCATGCTCTTAAAGCAAAGGCATCAGGAGAGTGTCTAAATTCAGCTTTGCAAAAAAACGTGAACCAATCTGACCAAATTGTAGGCTCTGGGGAAATTTCCATTTGTGCAGGGAGGGACAGACAAAAGCTGCAACCTGTATTTTCTGAGACGTTGGTAAGCACAGAGCATGTTTCGAGTTCTACATGTCAGTTCACTTGCACATGTATCATCCTTCTAAAACGAGTATATGTGCTCCAGACTAGAGCTGCAAGAGTACAGCAAGACTTTCCTTCAGCTGTGCCAGAAAGCTTTGGGATGGGGATAGAGGTTGTCTCCATTTTGGTGTCTAATCACAGAGGAAATTGAGATTCTCCATTTCCTCTCAAGAAGCAAGGACAATGAAGAGCAGTTTGAATGGCTTAAATATAAATAGGCTGTTCAGGGATAGGTCAGACAGAAAAGTGAAGGCTGTGGAGAAAGCAGGAAGCAAAGCGAAGAGAGGCAGGAAATGGGAGAGCAAAAGAACAGAGCAAGGTTGACCTGTGCAGGTCAACTACATTAAGTCTAATGAAAGGATAATGTATTGTCTGATGTAGGTTGGTGAAAATAACCTATCCACAGCCTGGAACTGAATTCAGAGTCCTGAATTTTTTTAGTCCTCTGCTCTTCACATTCCACTGCAAAACTCGCAGGGCCACTGTACCACAGCTAGTCAGCACAGAGAACGACTTAGTGCTACCACTACAAATCACTTGTACTTCAAAGTAGCAAGGCTTCTGCTGTGAGATTAGGGATTCAGATAGTGCTGGTATTCCAGGTTAAAAATGAAGACAATGACAAACACAGGATTTAAATTTTTTTTCAGCATCTTAAAAACCAAGCCCATCCAGCTTGCACAACAGATGAGACAGTTGTCCCGTGAAGAAATAAAACTCCTAACAATGATATAATTTTTAAAAGTATCCTAATAAATTTACACAGATGTTGTACCAGCTAGTTAATCATGGAATTTCTGACTTTTGAAGTAGCTGACATTCCAACCCTACACATTTGGACTTATTTTATTGTAATGTATTTTATTTATAGACTTGTCTGCAGTATTCTTGGGCACAGCAACTCAAAATCTAAGTTCTCACTAAAAAAATTACTCAGCCTGCTGCAACAGTTCAATCCTACCTAAAAATCCTTGGCAAGTTTAGTGCTCTGAAAATACCAGACAGTCTAAAAACCACTAGAGTGATAACAACCTTCTTGCAGTATCTTGCTAACATGTTGAATCATACCACTCCGCTGTTGCTTGCCAGAGGCCAGGATTAAGTAGACAAGTTATTGTACTACTACAGGAGGAGGAGGTCTGTTTGAGCCATTAAAGAAGCACAAAGCTGGAGCTACTCACCACTTTCCAACGATCTTTGACCACGTAATTGGCCGGAAGAATGTCGACCTGTTCCCCTCCACCACTCATGTTTGGTTCGTCCTTGATGACTGCTGCTAGGCACTGCATTTGCCAGCCAGAGAGTATTTTAGTAGCTCCCAATTTAAATGAGCCATTTATCTGGGGAAAAAAAGGGGCAGGGGGAACAAATGACAAAATTATTAGAGGTCGCAATATAAGTACATGCTACATTTCCACGGGTTTTGCATAGGACTAAAAGAGAACCAGTCTCTTAGGAAAGAAAAGGAACTCACCTCGCACACACCTGAGCTCACTCCATGCCCAACCTGACAGACACAACCATGCTTCAAGTCAGCAGCACACACTAAAAGGGTGACAGTTATCAGCTACACCGTGCTGCAGTCCAGTGCTCTCGGGCCTGACAGTCAACAACACATAGAGAACCTAATACCAAAATGCTGCAAGGGCTGTTATTGCTACCAGGCAAAAAGGTCTTGCTTTAGCAGAGCAGCTGCTACCTGGGCAGTTTTTATGGATTTCATTGGATGACATCCAACACAAATCGGAAAGGTTTGCCAGGTGTTGCATTCAATAATCCTAAAAGCATCTGAATAGGGTAGAAGGCCTTTACAGAGCCAGAATTACAGACACATCACTGTAATGAACAGCCAAGCATAGAAGATGGGGATTGTTAGAAAAGGCTGAAGCCATGTATATATTAGTCCTCCTCATAGCATACACATGGTGCTAAAGATGATCAAATTAAAATACAGAGAAATAACTTGTGCCTATGGTGTTTCTCTTCTACCTCATGCCCTTTTTTCCTGCTTTTATATGGAGCTCCAGCTAGCCTATGCTGAAATTAATTTTGTATTAAGTTTTTTGGTTATGTATCTTCTATAAAAATGACTTTCCAAAACACATTAACTCTGCTTTCCTGGAAGAAAATTAATTGAAAAAGGACTAATAAAAGATCTTCCTAAGATATTTTACTGGCTTTAGAAGTAGGCTGAATCTTTTACTAAGCATGGATCTTGGCAATTCTATTGTCCTTCCCCCAAAATAGGAAATATCTTCCTTCCTAAAAATGAGTGTCACTGTAGCACTCTGGTTGCAGACTTAAATTAGATTAACAACAGAAATACCAAATTTAAAAAAAGTACTAAAGCTGGTCATTCAACCCTTACACTTCTTTGGGCCTAAAAAAAAGGAAAAAGTCACCAGGTAATTTTGAGCTCAAGTAGAGAAAAGAACTCATTCCCTACAATAAAAGGACTCAGAGGGAAAGCTAGAAAGTGACCAGCATGTAGTATGCAAAAGGAAGCAGAAACAGAAGTATGTCAAAAGTGCAAGACATAAACAATGATCAAACAAAACATGAACAAAAGATCTCAAAGAGATCTTATACAAATCTTCACAAAAGAAGATTTCATTCTAGATATAGAAGATAACTACACGGAAAAAAATAGCAGCAGACTAAGTCAGTAAGAGGGCTGCTGAGAAATGTTCATGAAATCCAACATCTGCTAAAGGACAATCAAAATTATAGAAGAGAAATAGGAAAAATCTGAATATTAAAGAGATTCAGAAGAAAGGTAGTGCAAAATGTTCCAAATTCTCAGTGAAAGAGTCCTGCATCTGTGTGGGGCAGTTGCCCTTTCAATCACCAGGTATTGAAATAAGAAACTGGAAACAGAAAATACATGCTGTGCTTGGCAGCACAACATTTGTGCTTCTTCTTCCTAATGACCAAGTCAAATACCATTCCCAGGTTCTTTTATGTTCACCAGAACATCTGAACTGGTCTTCCCTAAGCTAGCAGTGTGCTCTGCATACACTGTGCACCCGACCTTCCTGCACATCACTGCAGGATGCACAGAAGAGAGAATCCCTGCAAAAATCTCTTCTAAGGCTGGCTTTTCTTCTGGTATTTAAAGAAAAGTAATTTAATTATAGACTGCCCCAAACTTTCAACATTATAAAAATATAAAAACTCCCAATATTAACACAAAGGCACAGAGGCAAGTATCCCCTCCCTAACCTTGAAAGTCTTTTCACATTACTTTAGGGATGCATGTGCATAATAAGATTTCAGTCTAGTGACTTCGGGTGGAAAGTAATCCCAAGGAATAATTTTAGAGGAGAGACAGAGCATGAAAGTCCACAAGCACTCAAAGCTAGGCAAGGTACAACTGCTTTCCCTCGTGCACTATTCCAGTTTCCTTTATCAATGTTTTAATATATGTGTACAAAGATAACATGTTTGTTATTTAAAGGAATAGCATGTATCTTCACTGGCTCTGAAACAGAACAAAATTTTCCCAGGCAGTACCATGAATAGCAGCTATTTGGCAATATGGAATTACAGAACTAAGTTTGCAGATATGCTCTGGTATAGCCAGAGTGATGTAGCCAAACAAAATGCCAATTTAATTACAGCCCAAGACGAATTTCAAGCTGTTTTACATCACAGTAGCAGCACAAAGCAGCATGAATCAAAACTTGTTCCTGAGGCAGTACTAATACTGCAGAAACATGCCCAGACCTACAGGCAAAGGGTTTACCAGAACAACACTGAAGCATTACCTACATCCATAGCAAGGTGTAACACATTAACCTAAAACTCCAGAAGCATCACAAAGAAAAGGTAAAAGAAGGGATGAAGTCACCTTTGTGCAGAAACCATCAGCATATTTAAATTGTGCTTTTAATTTATGCATTATTGTAATGCCTTTCAAATCAATAAAATATAGTGTAAATATTGTTTGACCAGCATCAGAGCCTGTAGCCAGCTCCATGCTAGAGCTGAATTTGCTAATAGAAGGGAAGTGGCAAGGGATGGTCAGTGGGGGAACGATAAGGCACTACCTCTCTTCCAGAATACATGGCAGAGAGCATCATTTCTACATATTAAATGTTAAGTGGTGTTACAGGGAATTAGAGGAGAGATGGAAGGATTATATCTCTCTTCAAATTCAGCAAAGCTGGACCAAAGCATATGAACTTTTACATATCTGCACCACTCTTCTTACCTTTAAAATGTGTCAACCATTGAATGCAAAGAGACATAATTTAAAATATAGTGACTGTGAAAACAAGAACTTTCAGATTGCCTTTTCCTGTAGCAAAAGTACAGGATGTCAAGAAATTTTTGCATTCCTGTCCCATGAAGACATGCAAGAGAGTTGAGCAACTCTAAGACACTGTAAAACTGCCTTCCTAGAAATAGCAAGTGAAGCAGAAATGAAAGCAGCTATGAGAAAGAAACTGTGACAACAGCAGGACCAAATCCTGTCTCTTGGCCAACCTGAGCATGAAGAAGTGTGAAATCAGCTCTTGCATACTGCTCTCTCTTTGAGCCAATTAGGGAGAATCTTTAGAGTTTTATAAATTTAGTCTTGGCCTTTACAATAAAGAAATCCAAAAAACCATGTTTACCAATTCACTGAAGGTTGTAAGAGCGTTCTGAGGAGTCACTTTATATGCTTTCCCTGCTCTTCTTCTCTTTCTTAGATATCCATTCTTGGCCAACTTAGGTCAGGATACCGGCCTTAGATGGACCTGTGGTATGACTCAGAACGGACAGGCTTGTGTTTTGATGAGGTACTTTCAGCAGGAGTGTATATATAATGCATATGTCTCTTTTATCCCTTCAAGGAGGTCAGAGACCAAAAAAGTAAATACACATAACCCAATTACCTATCTCATAAGGTTTTCTTTCATGCTAGCAAAATTTTAAACAGCTTTATTGGAAAAAAATATTTCCTAATTTTACAGGATTACAGCACTCTTAAAACTAAACTTAGAAATAACAAGCATGCCCCGTGGAAATTCCTAATTAATACATGAGATCTTTCCTATGTTAGCTTACTTCAGTCTTGAGGAGTGCTCAAAATACAGCCAAACTCACACAAACATCAAGTTGAAAACTCATCAGATGTGAGGTGGTTATTAAACAGCAGAACAAAGCTATGGAAGTCTGTCTCTCACCACCTAACTAAAGGTCCTGGATAATCTTAATGAATTAATCTCACTGTGGAAGAGTTACAATATCTCACTTTACTTGAGGACACATCCTTACCTCTGAAAGTCTACAAATTAGAACCATCAGAACAAGTGAAATTTACTTAGACTGCTGTAACCCATAACCACCTTAGGAGCATGATCCACCTTAAGAGCAGATCCCAGTGGTGCTATAGGAAGTTGACAAAAACTACAGCTTTTTTTGGGTGAGACAAACTGGACATCTGCAAAACCAAAAGAAGTAACCCCAGTAAACTGCAGTCTAGAAATCAGATCAATCTCCCTGTCCAATACTTGCATGGAAGAAACAACCAAAAAATAGTTGTAAATAGAATTTAAGCATAATTTAGGTGTTCCCAACATGAACTTTACTGGCATTAAGCCAAAACAAAACAGATGGGGTGGTGAATAAGACGAGAACACAACAAGTAGGACTGAGAGTGCTTAGAAGTAAGGAAAAAAAAAACACTGGAGTTTCCAAGTGCCACTACTCAGCAGCACTGGGGCTTAGTTAATGGCAGCAATAAGTGCATGTACCCAGGGTCCCTCACTGTTTTTCCAATGTCATTTGCTCTAACACACAATACCAACTATAAATATGAAATCACTCACATTGAAGCAAACAAAAAAACCCCTTAAATCTTTCTATAAATAAGTTGTACCATGCACTAGCATTCTGTCATTAGGGTACGAATGCATATGACAGTACAGGAAAGAAGTTGATTAAAAAAAATAATGTGCACTGGACTAACAGCCCCTCAGCCCTGGAATATACCAGATCTCCTGCTGAACTTGAAACAGCAATGAAAAACAACTCATACACTGTTAGGGTAGGTCTGACAACAAGAACTTGTAAGATTCTGAATTGTTCTTTGAAGACACATATGTTCCTTCATTGCCTGCCCCTGCTGTAGCAGACCCTGCTTGGAGAGCAGGCTCAATTCCTAGCAGCTGCACCTTGAAGTCTCCTCTGTGACATATTCTTCTCATAGCTATGCAAAGGCAATCAGCCTTAGAAATTCTGGGCTTGCTATTAACAGCATTTCATTTCAGTAAAAAACAAAACACCCGAAAGTGTTTTGTTGCAAGATGCTGGGACTGTTTTTCATCTTTGAAAGGTTTATGACCATTAAGGAGTGATGTAAGAAAAACAAAAACAAAAAAAAAAAGCTGCAAACAAGACAGACAGGTCCAGATTCTGTGCTAACACGAGGCTGCACTGAACAGAACATACATAAAATATATTAAATATGATAACAGACGAACCTTGACAGCATTATTATGACTAGCCAGTTGCACAGCCAGCTGAATGTA